TGGCTATTTCAGGCTTTTTGCCGTCATCAGCCAGATATAATGTATTTTAGGGTTTGAAACCCCTGAGCTTCGAACCCGCGGCCTTTGGTTTTTGAGAGTAAATATCTAGCTCGGCCCTACGGTCTAGTTGCTTTGTTGGTTCTGAACGTGAATATGATGGAACTGGGGTTTTAATCTGACAGACGCCGACTAAGACGCCAAAAAATGTATCCCATTCTTAATAGATTGTGGCATTACATCTTAAAAACGAGCCTTCTTAGTCGAACTGCAGGCCATATTTTCGTTCCATACCATTTAATTCCCTTCCAAGTAGTTCTTCAGTCGAAGTGTTTTATCCACAATTGTAAATATGAAAAACACAGATAGTAAAGCGGTGTTCTTGACATTGTATTGCTTTTGTGTGCTGTCCTGCGTTTTCGTTGGAAAACATGGACTAACTGTACCATACTTTCGTTCCATTTGTCACACATTGATTACACTACAGGAATTTGAGTGCACCATTGACAACGAGGTATTCTGCAAAGGAATAACGACTTCTTCCGACAAGGGAAAGTGTCGTAAGCATTGTTTTTTGTTTCCTCATATGTTACCAAAGTTCCTGCTCGAAGTGCCTCAATGATATATTTTATATTTAGACATAGAGGAGAATGGTAATACATTTACCTTCACCTATAAGTATGAGCGATTGGACAACCGAAACGAGTCTGTATTCGTATGCAATTCGCATAACGATAATCAAACGCAGACCGTATATTGGCATGGTAAGTATTCTTCAAAAATATCCTTTTCATTCTCATACTAACCCGCATATGTGACTGCTGAATCTAAAAGTAAATCTAATGCACCAACCATGAAATTGTAGTGTGGGCAGAGCACTTCAGGATCACCATACTTGCATTGTTCTTTAAAGTCTAACACAAAATCTACAAACTTTACTCGTTTCCTATTTAGCTTGATTAGTTCTGTTGATGCGCCGTACCCGGCGCATCCCGAAGCATCGAGTAGATGCAAATCTCATTTCCAATCCGATAGATGGCATTCTGACTATAATGCTGCAATCTCGAAAGTAATGTTAAAACACCAGATCTACTTGGCCCATTTTTGTGCTGTGAAAATTACCATCACCGTGTTCGGAAGTATACTTGGCGAACTTAGGGTTAGTCGATTTATTTAATAAATTGTGTGTTTTACTTAAACCGCGGAAACATCAATGCAGTTGTCTTATGGGAGCCTATACAAAGCAGAAGTATGCTCGTTAACAAGCCTTCAGTACAACCGGATGCATAAACATTGAATAGGCAATCCGTTTTTAATCGCGAAATTTCCGATGACATACAGTACGGCAAACAAGTACGGAATATGGAGTCTGCTTAATGTTTTGAGACCTGCCTTATACAAGGCAGAGCTGGATCACAAATATTTCGTTAAATTGCCTGCTTATGATCAGTTGGGATGTGCTGGTATGCTCTCTTCGTAAAACGGAATTCAGTGGAGGAAAACCGGTGGAAACGGAAGGTTGGGTATTGTGAAAATTCGCTAGAGGTTTGAACTGCAAGGTTGTGCATCCTAGATGAGTTGCTATTTCGAAGGTAAAAGCTTGAAAATCTCGTTTTATCCCGGCTGTTGACTGGGCGTACAGGAATGGTGTAAGCATGACTTAACTGTCTCGTTCTGTCTTTTTATTCAAACATATTTTTACTGAGTACCCTTGCATTTTTATTATTTAGTAGAAGATTAAGAAGCTGAGTTGTTCTGTTTCCATTAAACAGACATTAATTTTTTGACTGTCATTTGCTATCTTTCATTGTGATCTGCTAGGCACCGACTATGAGGCATTCATTGAACACATTCCAGGTTCGTTACAATGTTTCAACAATTTTGCAGCTGAAATTGACTCAAAATGACTTAAGCCATCTAATTTGCCAGATTGAAATATTATTCATGAACTCTTTTTTAGAATTCCATATTGCAGTTGAGGGTATGGCGCTGGGTAATGCGCTAAAGGACTACTTCTCAAAGGTTCGCTTACGCGTCCGCAGCGATAGGCAAGTATTCAGAATGTCCCCTGAGTCGACCTTCGACGTGACTTGTTCAATTGACGGCAAAAACATGTCGTGGACGTGCATGGCCTACTTCAAGGATGCAATGATGCAAATGTTGTATCGCTATGTGAGCCAGTTTTAAAATATTTTTTTATGGTCGACTTGGTGGTTCATGAGCAAGCTGCAATATAATTCTGTTTTGCTTAGCTGGTTGATCGTCAACGCGATAAGCCAACAGCAAACAAACAAACTCTTATGGCGATTCCAGGGCTGATAACAGGACACGGGGAGCTGTTTGATCATGTAATTCGATCTTAAATAACCCTGTACATCCTAGAAAACTGAAAATAGCCAAATAATGCCTCCATCGAAAAAAATGTCTAGGCTTTTCGCATGAAAGCTGATTTATTGTAATGCCTGTAACCAGAAGTTCTTTTTTGTTGCTGCCGATTCTGCTGTCGCAAT